TGCGAGGAGGTCGACCTGGTTGGGTATATTGTTAGCAATGGGATTCTCAGTCTCCATTATTAACAATCCCTTTCCCCCGCTTGTCGGGGGGTTGACAACTGCAGTTTGGCTTTTGATAATTTGTTAAGAAAGACGCTGCTGCCCATTCCTCGACCATTAAGTTCCCTTAGACGCTTCTTAGGACACCCACGAGATCATACGATTTTTAATAGTAGTGTCTAATATGCTGTAATAGCCGTATCGGTTTAGCTGTAGGAAGCAAAATAAAGCCCTTTACATACCATGACATAAAGAGTCATCATAGACTAAACTTTTAGTATGTAGTTACTCTTATTTTAATTAATAGACAATTTACGTCTAGTTTGTCTAAGTTGCATAAAAAAAAACTCAACGGGCGAGCGCGTACGAATACAACTAAAATAAAACTTGACTGTGTTTCTGTTTGAAGGAATATGTATGCAAACACAACTGCTTTACGGTTGAAACACGAATGGGACAGAGGTACCCAAGCAAACGTCTTTTATACTAAGTCTCTGTCTGGTCTGATAAGGTGCGGTAATGTCTATAGGTGACAGTTATTATTTACTATCAGATAGATCATTAGCTTGTTTGCCATTTCATTTGTTAGTTTGATTTCCAACAAAATACTTTTGGAAAGGTTGTACTTTTAAAGGTTATACCTGTATACCTTAATTTACTCTATGCCCAATGTAGCTATGATGACAGCTAATATATCAACACAGTAACAACACAAAACGAGCGGAACAAACAAAATTAGCCGGTCCGCCCGGCTGTCTGTCTGTTTGTCCGCGCATATAGACTTAGCCGTGTAATCTTACTTAACGTGATCCCAACCGTGTGGACCAATTTGTTAGCGGAGGCGAGAGCGGTGGCGGGCTTGCTTATTCTTTCGCTGTTGACCTTTACAAATTTATTATCCTTTTTAATTTGTTTGTTGCCTATAGCGCCTTAACGGTTAAAACAATCACTATGAATTTTGTTATACATATACTATATGGAGTGGAAATATAGGTTATTTTTTTATCCCTGTCAAGCGAACGAAGTAGCGGATCAAAGGTAGTTCACATATAATTATAAATTTTATTATGTCATCAAATCTGCTTCCATAGTTTTTGTCTGTTTTGACGATAGAACCAAATTTACTTTTAAAATTTTTCCTATTTATTTTTTAAACTTTTTTAAATTTTGTAAATAATATTTGAGAAAGCAAACATTGTTGTCATATACAATATAAAAAATGTAGACTGTTATTTTTACAAATAATAGCATAAATCGCATAAAAGATTCTGTTGATTCGCAAAAGGATTCACAGACGAAGATTGAGAGTTGACTCATTATTATATAAAAAATCATATAGATTATTGTAAAAAGATTGGGAACTAAGCAGATTTGAAAAAGAAAAAAAAAACATACATAATTCAAATAACCAAAATAATTGAAAAAGGAAAACAAGTAATCGCTTGTCCCATGCACCAGTAGTAAATAGCTTCATCGTCGATTCTAGAGTTCCATCATAAGATAGTCTTCCGCACCCCCTGGATTTCCTACAAACTGTGGTTTAAAGCGGAAAGTTTAAAACTGGCCGAGAGTTCTAGATCGACTGGTCGTAAACTAATCGACGCTCTCCCGTGATGAATTTGCCAAGTAAATGTTGCCAATGGTGTTTTATAAAGTTGACAAAACACTGCGTGTGTTGATAGCGGATTGTTTGTTGCTACGCTGAAGATTACATAGTTTAAAATTGACAAACTTTATTTACAAATAAGATTTAAAATAGTAGTCGTTGACCTGTTATCTGCCACTCTTATGGGAATTTTGTAAAATCCATTCTTAAGGCTGAATAAGACATTTTTTATGATCTTAATACAGTTTATATCTTTAATAATTTTGTAATAATGCAATTAAATACTGAATCTTATTAATACGATAAATACGAAAATTTGGAACGATCGATGGGTGGATGGATGGATGTGTGTTACTCTTTCACGCAAAAACTACTGAACAGATTTGAATGAAATTTGGTAAACGATTAGGTTATATCCTAACTTAGCACATAGGATACGTTATGATCTAATGCAAGCGAAAAAAGCCATAGGATACAATTAATATAAATAAAGACCAGACAAAGAGATTTAGCACATAAAGTTGACTATATCTCTGTCCTACTAAATTATTCTAACTTAGCACATAGGAAATTTTATATACTGATTCACGCAGGTAAAGTCACCTAGGATACGGCTAGTACTTAGAGGGAGACTGTACGAAAGTCGATTGCGTGGGTACCTCTGTCCCATTCGTGTTTCAACCGTGAAGCAGTTGTGTTTGCATGGCTGTGTTTCGGTTTGAAGGGTGGGATATGGCGTGAATTTACTGGGTACAGAGGAATAACACCTGAGTCCTCAGGAATGGCAACGCATGGGGGGTATCATGGGCGAAACAGTATACTCTGTTATGTCCATGGTACTGCTCATGTCTATAGGCGACGGTTACCACTTTCCATCAGGTGGGCCGTCAGCTTGTTTGCCATTCTAAGTTGTATAAAAAAAAAAAAAATAGTACGTTATAAATGTAACTAAAAAAACTTGTACAAAATTGTATGCTTCGTCGTCAGGCAGCACGTCGTTCATTACAGACTTTTCCTTGTCAAGGATATGTTTTTTAATCTATCTACTCATATGAGAGTGTTGCCCTCTGGTGTCAAAATTCTCTATATATTCTGAATGAGCGGCGGTCTTCTACTGTGCGTTTTACAAGGCACTTTCTTCCATGCACAACCACGCTTTGGAATCAACTTCCAGCAGATGTATTTTCGTGATTATACAAAACATCATAACCTTCAAGAAATGAGCATATTCCTAAAAGGACGGTAGCACACCTGCAATGCTTCTGGTGTTGCGGGTGATCATGGGATCATGGGTGGCGGTAGTCATTTACCATCAAATGAACCGCATGCTCGTTTCCCTTTGTGTATAAAAAAATATAACACTATATATCTAATCTGTTATTATTATGGTGCTGTTAATGTTTATAAGCGGCGGTTACTACTTTCCATCTCGTGGGCCGTCAGCTTGTTTACCGCACAGTAGTATAAAAAGTGCAGCGGTTACCGCTTTCCATCAGGTGGGCCGCCAGTTTGTTTGTCATTCCCAGTAGTTTTTAAAAGAGATATTAAATACACTTAGATATTTATTTTGTCTTTTAAACGTATATAGTTTTTTTTTTTTATGAAAATGTAATAGTAAACGTATCTACGGTATTAGTTTACACTTCTAAGGTACCAGTGATACGCGAGGATGAATTGAGGTCAGTTGGGCTATTGGGTTTTTTTTTATAATTAAATATACATAGAGGTAAACGAGCATGTGACTTAGTTGATGGTAAATGAAACAAACAAACAAACTTATTTTCACATGTGTAATATTAGTAAGAATTTTGTTATGATTGCAGTCATTTGTAAAGCAAAATACTCGTATATTAAAGCAAGGTACTCGTGATGATCTATCAGATCTACAAATTTTTTTGTAAAGGAAGATAATGGGATAGTTATCCCGCCTGGTGCTATCTATATACACTGGCGGGGCAATAGTAAGGGATGATAGGTTCTTCTATATGTTCTCCTTTAACCAAAGGTTGTCTGTAAGAGATTTCCCTAACGATAAGACCGCCTTTTACACCTTTATATGTATAGTTTAATTTGTACTTCATGCTACTGTATTTCAATTGAATTGTTTATATATCATTGTTTATTTTTATGTTTTTGGTGCAATAAAGAGTTAAATAATTAAATAAATAAGTGAGGATGAAAGCAGGTCAGTTGGCCCATAGTGAAAAATTCAACAATATAACTCAACAAAATACAATCAAACAAGAAATTCAATAACATACAATCAATCACGATAGTTTATTTATTTATTTATTTACATTTGACCATTTATAAAATAGGTAAATACATTTAACTGTAATGAGAAATGGTACAAAAGGTGGACTTATCGCTAAGCAATCTCTTCCAGACAACCTTTGAGTAGAGGACATTGAGAAAAGAAAGAAAAACAAAGTTATAGTTAGATAGTATCCAGGGAGAACCGCGTGGTAGTCGACCTAATAAGGTATATTGTAATAGGGTAGTATATGCTATTACTAACAATCGCTTCTCACCTCGATCTTCAAATTTGAAGACAAGGATAAGCACGTCATGTTACGTCTAGCACGATGATGGCAGAAGACGAGTAATGTTTTTCAGATGTTTTATTTAATTTGAGCTATCACGCGTAGTTTAGTATTATAAATTTAAACGGCTAATAATTCTTGGGCGCTGCCAAGCATAGGATTTTAGTGGCGAATAGCGACATCAGCTCGGCGCGGTCAGCGAGTCGTGCCCACGAATATATTAGCTATTAATGGCGGGACTGCACTCGTGCCCCTCGTAAATACGTGCCCACAGGAACATATCTTTATAATTATATGTTATCTGTATATATCCCTGTTATATATTCCCTTCAGCTCTTCTGTGTCATGAAGTTAGGTTTTTTAAGTGACTACAAAAAGAAGGTTCTCGATTCGTTTGTATTTTTTTATGTTTGTTACCTTATAACTCCGTCAGTTGTGAACCGATTTGAAAAGTTCTTTTTTTTATCTGACTTTTATTTGACCAAAAAGGTTCAGTTTAGGTTTTTAAATCAAAATAACTGGTTTTGCCACAATAGTTAACAAATTAATAAAAAATGTCTGTTTGAAGGGATATAGAAAGAAATATTCACAAGGCGCCTTATTGGAGACTCTGGTGTATATTGGAATAAATCTGTTGTTCATTTATAATCGCCTCACATTATCCCATTAGAGATAACAGTCGTGAGAATATTTATTTATTTTTAAATCCACTGTTCAAAAGTTCAAGTTGTATCAATTATTTATTTTTCATACTTTTTGTGTATATGTATGTCACACGAAGTCTTGTAATACTAATTTGTATATTGTTCCAGAATTCTCTGCGTACTTCCGAAGCTGACAAGCGTCATATGATGGAGCGTATCGTTAAGTTGGAAGAGGAACTGCGTGCTCTGAGGGTGACCAATGGGTAAGGATGGTTTTACAATATTTATAGACTTTATCCTAAAAAGTCGGGTTGGCACATGTATGTACCAATATCTGCAGAATATACAGTTTTTGCGACAAAGGAAACCAAGAATGGAAATTGGAAGTATATGTACATTGGCGAAAGAAACTTATACTAGAGCCGTGAAAGGAAGCCAAAAGGAAACAATAGAGATGTATGTCAATTTCGAATTTAGTAAATAATAATATGAAAACTATAAATAATATATGTGGCCTGTACTCCACAACAAAAAATGTAATGTCTATGTTAAAGGATCTGAAGACTTAACGTTTTTATTCTCAAGTAAAGCCTATATGTAAAAGATGCCGTAGTCATTACAACGTATAATCAGATACAGATGGTACTGCTTATGTCTATTGATGACGGTTATATATATTGGTTACGGTGACAGTTCTGTATATTTTTATAATACAGGTTGGAATCGAACGAAACAAAATTGACAAACGGCAATGTTGAAGATGCGGAAGCTGAACGATTGCGTCTGCGCAAAGAAGTCGCAGATATGCGAAAGGCCAAGCAGAACGCCGAGGAACACGCGCTCAAGTAAGTTGTAGGTACACATCCCCTTAATTTATCCGGTGCGAAGGATTAGCTTGTCTGTTTATGTTGTTTGTTGTATTTCTTACTTCACGCTTTTAGTAAATAACTGTCCAGTCTCATCTGTGTTATTTAAATAATGTTATTTTAAACTTAAAAAATAATAAACTAAATATTCGCGAATGAGATGTAAATTATAAATAATTTTGAAGATATTTCCTTTTGAGATATTTAATTCAAATAAAGAAAAATTTGAAACACTTACTCGTATAACATTACTGATTATAAATTGATCATATATTACCTCTCCAAGAAAAAAAAAAAATAAAAAAATCTATTGACACCGCATAAATAAAAAAAAGAAATATTTGCATTATTTGTAGATTTGATCAAATAACGTGATTTGTCCTGTCTCAATGATCAATCCAAAATAGTCCCTAAGATTTCTAATTAAAAATCCAATAATTAAATCCAAAATTTTATAAAATAGAAAAAAAATATTTGTGTAAAAATGTTTGTAGCAGAATTAAAATTAGTCAATTGAGTAAACTAGTTAAATAAAAAGAAAAAAATATTAGATAGCGAAGTTGGTAAGGTTTCCCACTAATTTCTAAAATTTATAGTTACATTTCATAATACATTCTGAGCTCGAAGAAAAACACGATTATATATTATTGTTCAGTTAATATTTCCTAAATATAATAAAAAAATCCTTACAGACTGGAGCGCCTAGTAACCCAACTCCGTTCAAAGTTCAACGGAGTCCAAATAACCGCGAACGGTCCCGATTCGTTGCCGAGCGATCCCGAACACGAACAGAACGCTCGCGCGCGTCGAACCAGCATCAACTCGTCCAGCAACTCGACTGTTGTGTTCGGACCTGTGACAGATTTGTAGCGAACATTCGGCATTGCAGTCTGTACGCTAGTAACAGACTTATTCTGGTCCGCTTTGTATAAAGCTAGTTGAGATCGGTGATATCGCATCGCAACTTGATGTAACGGAATGTTCGCTAAAGCTAAATTGGGACTATACTTGCTAATAAAAAATTAAAAGTTTTGAATTTCAGTATAAATTATTTCTTATTGATATACTTCATTGAATCTCAATAGGTCTGAATGAACATGATTTTGAATTTGTTTATAATGTAAATCAACGAGTATTCATGTTATAAGATACATGGTGTTTACAAATATATAGTGAATTTTCTCCATTAAATCTATTAAAACAAACATCAATGTCGATTACTTAATTTCAATTGTAATTAACAATCCGAACATAGAAGTCAGTTTATAGAATTTCTACAAAATTTATAATTTTGATTAAAAAAATTTTATTAAATATAAAAAATAGCTTGGTGAATTTATTTATTTATTCGCTACGACTATATATTTTATTGACTCGACAAGAAAACTAAAATTAACGAATTATTTCTTGCTCATAAACGATCAGGTATAATGCTACAATATTATGTAAAATTGTAATTAATTGTAATATTAATTTTTACATCCAGTAACGATCTCGATATTATTACTATTACGAATCGATAATAATTATTTGTAGTTTCATTAAAATATGTCACGTATTGTTTAATTATATATGGTGTTTATAAATTGACTTAGGTTTTCTCCATCAGCAAATAAACACATTTCTACAAATAATAAGGAAAAAAAGTATTAATTTTGTTCGTGTACATACTATCAATCTTTTTTATAATCTGTATCATTCTTTGAAGGGAACAATAAAGTGTTTTCATCCATTCGTTCATTCAAAAGAAATTGTTTAATAAATAAAGATACAATTATGAAGCAATATTCGTTAAACCAACAGGTTGAGTGGTAACGAGGGTCAAAAACCAGCACGGTGCTTTTCATAATGTGTGATGATTTTCAACCACAAATTGATATAATTATGCATTACCTATTACGGGCAAATATTGCGTAATATAAATATTTTATTTCTAAATGGTGCTTGTTGAATCTTACTAAATAATGTTGTAACCGTTAAATTATAAGTCAGTTAATTTTACTGCATTACAATTTTACACACCATGTATAATTTAACAAGTGTATATTTTATTAAATATAAATCACAATTATTAATAATTATTTTAAATACACTATCAGGACTTAACAATAAAAAAGTTGCAGGTAAATAGTACCTACATAGCTAATTTTTACTTATTTTTTTTTTTTATTTTTGTAGTGTATTTAAAATATGTGTCAACAATGCGAAAGTTTAAAACTAACTATTATTGGTTATTATTAAGCCTTAACAACTATGATTGCTCATTATTGTAACGGTATGTGATTTTTTTTTAAAGTTATAAGTATATTATTTAACTCAGGTGCTATTTCATGTTATTTTTTTTGTCAATATATACCTATATATTGTCTTTATTATTTTATATACATAACAGATATTGAACAATGATTTAATTATTTCATGTAATAACTTTTATTTTTCAAACTTATGACATTCTGATTAGAAAATATTCAACAAATAGCGCCTCCTGAAAACATACAATGTATCGTATTTATACATAGATTCTTTATTGACTTAATACTTTTTGTCAGGTACAAAATATATTAAAATTCCAATAAGGCGTCTAATATCGTCAAATTTAACTGAAAAAATTCATGTATAAAAAAAATTGTTCAGTTTTTCACTAAAGCATTAATTATATAACAATAACATAAATTATTTTGATAGATACCGATAGTAGACAGACAGAAAAATATTAAGAATCGATTATTAATTTTAATTAAATTTTAATTAAATGATAATTAATTATAATTAATTAATTTTAATATATATTATAATATAGTACCACTTTGTATGAAAACTGTATGTAATCAGTTGAATTTAATTTATCTGTTATGATAAAACATGGGGTTTTACTGTTATCCTGATATTTTAATAAGAAATACACAGTAACAAAATGTTTAAATTCCCTAATGCAAGATATGGTCTTTACTTTATTATTGTTGTCTTTATATTTACCAAAACATATCAATATAAGACAACAATATTTATTTTAGTTTGTCATAACAGATAAATTAAATTCAAATGATTACATACAGTTTACATACAAAGTAGTACTATTTACCAAGTCATTTGGTGCCACTGCCTGCCGGAGTGGTGTTGGCATTTGCAATTTTCGACCAATTCGCTTTTCACACCTCTCTATTAAAGCGCTTTTAATAAACATTCGTCCCACTTATGTGTAGCAGTTAATGTTTTCTATCAAACTTCTGAGTACGGTTTTAACTTCAGCTTTTTTACGTTTCCTATGCCGGAATTAGAAATTCTGTTTATAAGGTACAAATATAGAATGACGACTATAAGAAACAAGAATAAAAGAAACATAATTGTGAGAAAAATATAAAAAAAGTCTTTAAAGTAGAATTCACCAACGTTAATGGTTTTAAAAAAAAACGTATATTAACTTATAGAAATCCGGTTTTTTGGACCCACAGTTTAACGTATCTACGTAGGTAAAAAAAGATAAAAAACAGTGTTTGTTTTATGAATGAATGATACAATCTTTCATTCATTCGTTTTATACTTCCTTGTCCGTATTTTTATGTTATCTATCCATGTCTTCTGATATGCAATCTTTCGCCTCTTGTGTGAATTCTGTAGTTTATGTTAAATTTTAAATATGTATTTTTTGTGTTCCAATTTTTTAAGAACTACTTATTTAATTTATATTTTGTTTACAGTGAAAAATTGAACAAATTTGATTTATTTCACATGTCACAAAAATAAATTAAATTTCACTAATTTGTATTATTATTTTCTTTTCAGGTAAGAATTTTAATAAAATGAATTAGTGAAATAAAGAGATGTCATTTAATTTTATAAGTTAGAATTTATTAATTTAAACAAGTCACAATGAGTCCATTCATAATTTAGTTTAGTATAAACAAATTTTGGTACTCGGATGATATGTCGCTTTGTGAAATGTACCTCAATTTAACTAAAATTTTTTGTGTATTTTTTCTTTTCGTTTGGAAAAAATATCCGTCTACATTTGTTGTATTATATTAGTACGCTTAAGAATAATTTAAAATGTCTGTAATCACATAAACTTGTTTTAAATTGTTTAGCTCATACTTTTGTGATGTGATTTTTCTTTTTTGTTTTATTAATATAATAATATCGAATTTATAATAAATAGTAAGAATTGATTAATCATAATTTAAACGTGTGTGTGTGTTCTAAAAAACGTATATATTTGTGTTGTTTTGTGTTTTTATGAACAAAAAGTGAAATCGATTGTATTTATATAATTTAAAAAGTGTTGATTTAAAACAATAATAAAAAAAAATAGAATTAAATATTTCAGGTTTCATATTGGTCTGCAGAGTAAAATTTATTGTAATTTTTTTTTATATGAGTGATATAAAAAATAAAAGTGTTGTACAACCGCAACAAAATTGACATAAAAATTTAGTTTATTATAACTTAGTTATTTGTGTTCATATACTTTTATAACTAACTATACAATTTCGAATTAATATCAGAAATAGATTTCATAAATACTGGTCACTCTATACTAACCACCGATCACACTTAGAATAGACTGATTTTTACTAATTTATTGACTTATAATTAAGTAACATACCAAATTAGAGATTATAGATATATAAATAATGTTTCATAGGGACATATAGATTGTTTGTTAATTACGCTGATTTATTTTCGACATATTACTCATTGTACATCTTCGACCCACTACCACCTATTTTTACTACAATAATATGTATATAAGAACTTGAATTTTTAAGATTTATGGTTGTTTGGTAAAATGCGATTCTAGCCATAGCACAATGAGTAATATGTCCCAGCTACTCAGAATAAACAAAAATGTTAATTACAATATGGCTCCAATTTTAAAAACATAAATAATATTTAGATTTATGGAATATAACATTAAAATCTTAGCGTGCTTCTAATGTATAAAACACACTTTAGTAGCATTTTCGAGAATTGATTATAATAATTAACAATTGAGTAATTATATATTAATCAATAAATAATTAATTGCACTGACAATATTATTGGACTATAGTAATAATTATGTCAGGGTTTTTGTGAAAGGAAATACGATTTTTTTTATTTAATAATAGAATTTATATTAAAGATTACGCATGCTGAAATCTCGTATAATAATGTAATTGCACGACAATGTTAGTGTCATTTTTATTAGGAGCTTAAGAGTTGTCTCTCATTAAACAAAATTGCCAGAGAGCCATTAGAAAACATACAGGGACAGTTTCAAATACAAATTACTATGGAAAATAGTTACTTGAAAAATAGTGCTAGTTTTATGTCTTTAAATACATATCGGTTTCAGACAATATTATTCCCGCCAGCGATCAGCTTGTGAAATTAATTTCCCGTCTAATTCTCTCAAAAATTATAAAATACGGTTCTTAATGAAAAATAATATTAAAAATTTTTTCAAGATCCATAAGACACTTAAAATGCCCTACCTATGATACCTATTACAAGCGCATATACGCAAGTCTCGCTAGCTATCAAGTAAGTCGAATGTTAGCTTTCCTTCTCAGTAATATAAACAAATATTTTTAACATTGTTTTGTTTTGATTATCTGTCTACCTAGGCGAAAATATTTCCACGGCCTAGCACGGTAGAGCGGTTCACAAGTATGTATGTGTGAATCGCCTAGTCTGCACAGCGCGACATACGCGCGTTGTTTCGCGCCTCACCACCTTTGTGCGTTAGGGGCCTAATGAAAATATCTCGGCATGCGTGGTCCTAAGTATCAAGTAAGTCTATGACGAAAAAACCAAATAGTATCGTTAACAGCTAGTACTTACATGGAAATGTTGTATAAATACTTTATAAAAATCTGTCTTTAACTTATTGCATTTGTATAACTACTCGTATAATTTATAAACGATTATGACGTATAAATATAAGTATATATACACATATGACACAATTATATTACAAGTATATAATGTATTACAACACAATTATAATGTTATCAGTTCAATACTTCTGTGCAAAGTTGACACAACTGAAACGTTACACGAAACGTAAACACAGACTTGCAATCTATCATTCGTATCTTTAACACTATTTTATTCTCAAAAAGTTTAAAACTGGAATGTTCCAGAGAGTTCTTTATTGTTTCAACTTAAGAATGACCTCGGCGCATTTCGGTTGCCTATATACCTATGACATATGTTCTTAATCTCATTTTTCTTATTTGGCATACTATATTAAATGATCTTGAAATTTGAATAGAATCTATAAGTCATTTAAAAATAGAAGACATAAATGTTTTTTAATATTATAACCAAAATTGTTTATTTAAGATGCCAAGTAAAAAAAATAATACTATTGGTGCCTTAAAAGTAACATGTCCGCCCAAAAATAACGTTATAAACGATTTGTAATCTATAACAAAGTGTCAAAACTAGATAATATATAATCAATAGCATTAGTTTGTAAAGTGTTTGTTAATTAAAAATGTACATGTTTAACCAAAGTGCTAGAGTTCTTGTATACATAAAACTTAGAGTATTTATCATTAGAAACGATATAGCACGTAATTATTACTTGTATAAAACTGCAATTTTAACCAACTGGATTAGCATAGCTTATATATGTATAGATTATATTTATATCAAGATAACATTCATATAATATAATACAAGCCATTTTATGCTACATGTCAATATTTACGTTTAACGTTTATCTGTTTTTTTTTTCTTACTTGGCATATTCAGTAAATAAACTTGGCTTCTTTTTTAATCAAATATTTAAAAAGAAAATAGATAGATATTAATGTTAGACAATAACTATAATGAAAAAACAAATCTATTTGTTTATTTTATGAACTATTATCTCAATAAAAAGATACACCAATATTGTTGTTAAGCTGAGTATAAAAATTTATAACATATAATTAATACGCGAAATAGTAATGTAGTAATGAAAATTGAATTACATGAATTGATTCTGCGATTTTATAAGGAATTAAAAACGTATATCTCATTTAATCATATTCTTTAAAATTTAAATAAAAACGTGTACATTTATTCAAATTTTCTGAATATACATGGCATAATTAATAAACAATTTTGGTGTTGTTTTTTTTGTGCATAAAATAAATAAGTTATTAATATAAAAATGTATATTATTACTTTCTTCTTTACTGTATGACAAGATTGATGAATGTGGAAGAAGCGAAACAGGTTTGTTTGAATCGAAGCATTTGGCGTTCCATTGTTTCTGCCTACCCTAATGGGAGACAGGCGTGACAGATATGTATGTATGTATGTATTACTTTCTTTTATATGTTTACTATTGTGCCAAGTATAAAAAATAAACAGTTTTTAGCTACTACTTGTTAAAATAATATAAAAAATATATAATAATTTAGGTATTACACAGTACATGAAAATAAAAAGTAATATTCAATTAATCATTAGTTCGAGCTGTTTGTAGGCTTTATTTATGTTCCGTGTTTTCTGAACCCGGATATTATCGAAGAAATATCCGGCACTGAATATTATTCAACAAAAGCACATTATTTTGCACGGAAGTGGATGCCGGATCTTACTGCCTATCTGTTTGTTTCGAATACTCAATTAAGTACACTGTGTTGCAAATATTTACACTCACAAAATCGATTGTTAATTAATTACTACTGGTGAAATAAGGGTTTTTAATAAATTATTGCGAACAATGCTTTAACTGTGTTTATTTTCTACCAAATGTTTTTCGGTAGTTTACCAAAAATACTTAGGTATTTGTATTTTTAATCTTTATTTTCTTACAAAATAGTATACTGTGAATGTAAATGAATATGTTTGATTCTTTGTAGGCATTTTAACGATTCAGTCCATCGTTATAAAAATTTATATGCACTTACTTTGTTTTTCAGATGTAGGAGGACGACGTTATTCTAATGTAATAATAAATTTTCACAAAAAAAAAAAAAAAACAAATATAAATCTTACTAAAAAGAAAACATTATTTAATAGGTTAGCACGTAGAAACAGACTTACTATCCTTAGTCTATGGGTAGGTACTTCGAATCAAAGAGCATAAACATTTTTTACCGTTCATTTTATTTGTCCTTTGGGCTATCACCAAAGATATTGAACTTGGTTATATTTATTAGAATCATTATACTATAGTGCAATTAGAAACCACGGGCATAATTACAATGTAAAACTGTCACAAAGGACGCCTTTATGCGTTAATAATGAACAGTTCAATTGCTTTTAACCCTACGGAACTAATTTATGTTGTATGCAATGTTGTATCTCGAGATACAACATTGCATTGTTTCTATTATTTTGGAGCATTTCCAATAAAAACAGTAAAAGGGCAAAGGGCGCGCCGAGCACGCGCGGTCACGTGTCCGCCGCGTGTCGGCGCCATCTTGCAACGCCATCTTGTATGATGGGTGGGAACTTCCGGCGGAAGACGCGTCACCAATTGTGAGAAAACTTGTTAAGGTGTGACAGTCGTGTGTCATATTAGGACCTCTGTATTTCTTGTTATAAGTACACGCCGAGGTACGGTCAACAAGTCGATGAACATGTTATAATTTTTAAAACCCATATTAATTCATATAATAAAATCTTAACTGGTCGCTGTATGTATATGGAAGATATATAAGAAAAACTATTATATTTAAGGCTACGCAAACGAACGCAATAGAACCTAAACCAATGCTTTTTTTGGGTATCTGTAGGTTTGTGCACGCTAATTTCAGAAACTTTTTTTTACCCCTTTGTGGGTAGGGTGTAGTCGCATATTTCTGTAGAATAAAGTGTCTTTCTTTGTTTGAAACCACTTAACCGATTTGAATGCGTTTTCACTATAGCGTTGCTGTTTGTACCACTTAACATTTAGTGTTTATTTCAATCGGTTCATAAATAAAAAAAAAAGTTATATTAATATAAAGAATCGCATATAAAATGCTATAAAACGATGGATAGATGTATATTTATTACTCTTTCGCTGTCAAAAACTACTTAAAAGAGTACAGCTACGGCTCGCCATCGACAGGAAGTTCATCCTTATGTCCTACAGCCTCAATGGTCGCGTACTGCGCGGTTTTAGAGATGTTTCCTCCCACGAACACTCAGGTTATGGAATTAGCTCTCTTCCGAGATTTTCCCAAGAGCCTATAGCATAGGGTTCTTCAAAAGGGGGGTAAAGAGGCTTACAGGGTCGGCAACGCACACGTAATACCTCTGGTATTGCAGGTGTTCACAGGCTACGGCAACCACTTACCATCAGGTGGGCCGTATGCTTGTTTGCCACCTCAGTGGTATACTTAAAAGAGATTTGGTACACGGGTAGATTATATCCTAACTTAGCACATAGGACACTTTATGTACTTACGCGAATAAAATCGCAGGATACAACTAGTATGCCTTTGTATTCATCAAATTTTGTCATGTGATGGTATACGCTGGTGGGGCACCAATGAGAAATGATAAGTGAGGATGAAGCAGGGCAGTTAGCGCATCGTGAGGAATCCAACAATAAATAATTATTTCCAGGGGTAACCGCGAGGTGAAGAGGTTGACCTGATAAGGTTTATTGCTAGAAATGGGGTTGCTAATCCCCATTACTAACAAATCCTCCCCACTACGCGCAAGGTATCCATCGTGTTGGTCAGGTTGACCTTCCTGACTAGTCAAGGTTTTCTTCCTTTTCTTACTGAATTATATTTATATGTATTATAAACTTTTTAATGAAATTATGATATTTTCCAAAAGTATATTGCAAGCAAAAAAGCTGTTTTTATTTATGAGTGATAATGGAATGGTAACCCCGTCTGCGCTGTCGGTATACACTGGCGGGGCACCAGTGATAGATGACTGATGAGGATGAAAGGAGGTCAGTTGGGGCCAACTGACCTCCTTTTATCCTCATCATCATCCTGACGAATTCAACTAGAATTAACCACGATGGTTTCCAGGAGGAACCACGTGGAGGTCGACTTGACAGGTTATATTTCTAGTAATGGGGCTATTTGACCCCATTACTAACAATCCTTTTCCTCCCGCAAAAAAAGCTATTAGAACTCATTGTCATCTCATTGGCTACTCTAAATTGTACTACTCTTTAATCATTGGGAAAATTCTTTGTAATCGTAATATTCTATAATTTTAAGCTACAATTTAGTGATTCAACGGCTGTCCGAGGCCGAGGTAGACAATGTTTTTAAATATTAATGCGACCGCAACGCGACAAATTGGGCACAAATCAATTCATCGCCGGAGACCGACTCGCGGCGAGCGCTAAAAAGCACGACCTCATTATTGGACATGAATTAATCACACTTGTCGATTGTTCTGTAGTGATGTGATATGACGAGTAAGTATATATTGTTTACTGATATCGATAAACATGTCGTATTAGCGACATGAAGTAAGTTTCATACAAATTTGAATTAGAAAAGTAAAGACGGCTTGCCTGATGGAAAGCGGTAAGTGATATCATAGTGACGCTCATGACACCCCTCATGCGTTGTCAATCCTGAGAAGTGAATTATTATACCTATGAACTTTGTAATTTCACTGTGCCCATCTCTTAAACCCAAACACAATCATACAAACAATTGTTTGACGGAAATAAAATAAGTAGGACACGGATACTCAAGCAATCTACTTCTATATATAAAGTCTACATCTGGTTTAAACTATAAGTTCTGTAAAATGATCTCTGAAACTATACCTCTGTAATACCTAGGAAAATTAGTGCGGGGGAAAAATGTAACCAAACTGTACTGGAATCAATAACAATAGGAGCGCCCAGTAACTACGTACGAGCACGTAGACAATACTTATTCGATGTTCCATTACGAAGAACAGAGTTAGCTAAGCTCCCCTATCTCTTGCATTGAAACCACTCAATGATATTTTGAGCCAGTATCCGCAATTGGATGTATTTGCCTCCCAACTTGCTGGAGTTTCGTCGGGTGACCACAGAATATTTGTGTTCAGACGTTTTTTGAGTTAAAACTTTTTATATTATTTTTGTTATTTTTCGTGTAATATTCCTTTTTATATGTATTTGTACTAATGATTTCCTGGGTGAATGTATTGGAAGACTGTAGGGCTCACCCAGTGGATGTAATAAATAAATAATATTAAGGCGATATTTTACTGGTTATTTAATTAGAATTATTTTGTTTGGTCTAATATGTATGTCAATGCCAACACTCGAAGATTGACCATCACTATTACCAGAGGTTCTACAACTTTTCATTATAGCCATAAATTGAAAGAGTTTTTGCCAGTTTAGACACCGAACAGTTATCACTAGGTTCCGAACAGCGATCTAATAAAATTAGCCTGAAGATGCCTCGTTTAGAGGTGAAACGTGTCGCGCAAACAAAATGGCAGGCGAAGATTGTTAGCTAATATTAAAGGCTATGGAACTTCTGGTAGTAATAGTGCTAGTCAATCTTCGAGTGTTGGCACTCACACATATACTAATGGTAACGAAATTAAATAAAATAACTCTAATCATAAGCCAGTGATATGGACTTCCGCAGGATAACACCTTATTTCAGGCGATATTTTATACATAGTGTTTTGGTTAGTCATTTTAAATAACTAACGCATAGGTAATACATCTGTTAGCCCCCTAGGAATGCACACAAATATTTAATTATTATATTCATATCTATCTTATATTATAGATAATTAAAGTGCAGACAGGCGCATCCCTATCGCAATGAATATTGTATGTTGCAATTTGTATAATTTGATTAAGCCCCACCTGTGCTGAATCGCGGGTCGCTCGACCCAACATAACGAGGGTGATGATATGCGCAGCGCATTTAGGTACTTCCACAGACAGGGTACGAATGAATTACACGGTTAATTTCTGTTGCAGTCGATGCTTATGGCAATCTATACGTCCTATAGGGAACTATAGATCCTATGGACGGTCACAGTAAATACCATCTTTAATCCATGACTGCGTGTAATATATATATATATATATATATATATATATATATATATATATATATATATATATATATATATATATATATATATATATATATATTGTTAGATATTTAGACTAATATAACAAAGGGTGAGGAGCCAAGCCTATAAAGACCCAATAATTCATAATTCAATAATCTTGATGGAAAAAGACTAATGAAAGGACATGGTGCGATTTTGTACAAGAATTTAAACCACTTTGTCTGCGTATGCTTGATTATGCTAACATGCTGATTGATATTATGAAAACGAATTTTGAAAAATTTAGTACATATAGTACACTCGACGTCCAATGAGGAAGTTTACCAATGTAAAAAATAGTGTTATAAACTCTTTTGTAACTTATGTTTTTTATATTTTACTCTTTTTATCGTTTATTTTTTTATTGACATGACAATACAACTTTTCAATACGAACCGGCGTTTCATTTCTTACTATTTTTTTTTTTTTTTTTTTTTTTTTATGCAACTTAGAATGACAAACAAGCTGACGGCCCACCTGATGGAAAGTGGTAACCGTCGCCTATAGACATGAGCAGTACCATGGACATAGCAGACTATACTGTTTCACCCATGATACCCCCCATGGGTTGCCATTCCTGAGGACTCAGGTGTTATTCCTCTGTACCCTGTAAATTCACGCCATATCCCACCCTTCAAACCGAAACACAGTCATGCAAACACAACTGCTTCACGGTTGAAACATG